AGGTACAGAGCTTTTAACTGCGCTCGGACTATTTTACTTGATTGACTGTTACTCTGTTTTGTTAGACAGGAAATTGAGTATCCAGCGTCCTATTTTACCAGTTATACCCATTGACCTCATTTTGTGTGCAATCACTCCATGGTCACATTTGTCGAATGCCTTTGCAAAGTCTGTATTGTTTTTCTTCTAATGCCTCAGTGATTTTATCATAATGGTCAAGTAGCTGTGAGAGGCATGATCTTCCTGCTCTAAATCCATGTTGGCCTGGATTATGGAGGTCATTGGTTTCCATGAATCTAGTGACCTGATTCTTAGATCACTCTCTCAAATACTTTTATTATGTGGGACGTTAGTGCAACTGGTCTCGAATTCTTTGCCAATGCTTTGCTACCTCCCTTGTGTAGAGGGGGCTATGTCTGCTGCTTTCAGTGCATCTGGTATCTCCCACGTGTCCAAGCTCTTCCTCTACAGTGTAGAGGAAGAGCTTAGACACGCCTTATAGTCTACACTATACCGAGTGCCTGTGCTACTCTCACTTTGAATTTCTATATAAATATTGAATTCCACAAGTCTGGACCCGGGGCTGAGTGCATGGGCATATTGTCAATTTCTCTTTCAAAATCTGCTACGCTCGTGTTGATATCAGTTATATTTACAGGTGTTTGGATATCAAAGAAATTGTCCGAATCTTCCACTTTCATGCTGTGTATCCGAGTGCTAAACATATCCCCATACTGCTTTTTTAGGATTTCATTAATTTCTTTGTCATCCTCAGTGTATGAACCTTCACTAATACGAATAGGTCCAATACTGGCAGTAGTTTTTGCTTTTGATTTAGCATATGTGAAGAAATATTGAGTTTTTCTTTATTACTTGAATTGCTTTCTGTTGTAGCTGCCTTTCTTCAGTCTGTTCGATTTCTTCACTCCCTGTATAAATTATTTCTTCTTTGTATGGAGAGTCGTGTTTGCTTAAGCATTTCCGTTAATTTCTTCCTTTTGTAATGTCGTCTGCGTTCTCTTTCTACATTTGACCTCTTTCTGGCTTTCCTCAAAGGAACATGTTTCAGACAGACTTCATAATCCTGAGTACCTCGTAATCCTGAGGTTCTGGATTCGATCCCCGGTGGAGGAGGAAACAAACTGACAGTTTCTTTCACCCTGATACCCCTGTTACCCAGCAGTAAACAAGTACCTGGGAGTTAAGACATCTGCTGCAGGCTGCTTCCTGGGGGGCGTAACAAAAAGGAGATCTGGTCGAGGATGGGGCCGCGGGGACGATAAGCCCCGAAATCAAGTTAACCTCAAGATAAGGCCAAATGCAAAGTCATGGGGATTTGAACAGACTAGAACACGTGTGAAGACTAACAACAGTCTTCAGATGAATGAAAGACAATTTTTAATAAAAAAGATAGACCTGGGAGTCGACATATACAGGCTCCTCTATATATAGCAAAGGAGACCCACACTTCCATTTTCTAGTACGGCAATTTCGTTGTGCTCGTGGTGTCGTACTGTACAATAAACTATCGCACATAATGAGTATGTACACAATAAACTACCGCTCACAAGATGAAGGCATCAAAGGGCACAAAGCCGGGAAAACTATGTAAGTACCATCATTGTCACTGGACATTCAAATGGCGCTAAATATCATTGAACATGCCAATTCAATTTCTTTTTTTTATCTCTTTATTGTGCACCCCATACCCATCCCGTAGGCGGTGGTGGAAAGGGTTGCCAGTAGAACAGGCACACAAGGCGAGCGACATCAAAGGTAAGGCTCGTCAAGGATTTTGTTGAGTGACAAATGACCTTGAGGGACATTAGGAAAACAACACAAGTGTCATGAAAATCGAGACATTCCAAACTTAGACTATTTTCAACGGAGTAGACTGAAAATCAGCAAAAATAATACAAGATAATTTACTCTTGCTTCACATGCACGTCATCCTTTTGTTTCAAGTCTTCATAGCGCACCCGAAGTATTCTAGCTGGAAAGTGGCAGCATTACATACTAATATTCAAAGGTGTTCGTTGAGTAAAGTAGACCTCTAGCAGTCTTTGGTAATTGACCACATTTTCAGTCGTCTATTAATATGAAGGACCCAACATGATTTATTCCAATACGTTGCCAACGCCTCAAGTTCAAGTATGTTAAAGACAAGAAAAAATATCTGAAAGGGATAGAGTAGCTTAGGCTATTTCTACCCCCCCCCCCCCCCACCTTGCACGTCGATACATTGCGCTGCCTAGTCTATGGTAACTATCGCATCATGACCACTGCACCTGCCACTTATTTGCCTAGTTTTGTGGTCTTTATGGAATTCAGGGTTATTATTCGCGTCACCGAAACATTGACCATATCGTTTCCCCCATTGCTGGAGACCTGAAGCCACTTAGGCTTATCGTTTCTCAGCGATTAGCAACATGCCCGGAATGCAACCCACAACCGGTGCCCTACTCCCATGTACAGTATATATATTCACTTGAGGTACTATATTACAAAGCGTGTTTGATTTAAGATAGCCCTATTTTACAAGGGATTACGTTTAAATGTTTAGATTATCTCGTTTTCGAATTTACCATTTGATTAACCCTCCCTTAGGCTGAAGAGGGAATGAGTTGAATGAAGGATAAGGGAAAGGGTCCAGGCCAGTATGCAGAGCGCACTTGTCACAGAGCCATGAAATGACTATATAGTTAAGTCTTGTAAACTCATCTACACGTGACTGAACAGTTGAAAGGTTGGCCCTAGTTGAACGAGTACTGTATAACACTAAAAGGGTGACATTACCGCAATCCGGCCAAGTCTTTGTCATAAGCATACAAAATATAAATAATAAAATGCCAAGCCACAATGATAGTATACACACACACACACACCATTAAAAAGGACGATTGGTAATAACCTGTCAATGAATGCCCGCTATCTATCCTTAGTAGAAGATACATTCAGTAGAACCCCAGATGAAGCGTCCCGTTTAACTCGACTGCCAACCCAACACCTGATTCTCTACTAAAAAACAAAGGGAAAATAATTTAATGAACTTCAAGCGCGACAAAATCATGAGCAGTATTATGCCAATGAGATCTTAAGACTCCCCCAACAGCCAAGACAGACTACCAGGTACCCCTAAGTTGGTATCCACTGAAAGCTTCATCAGGAAACTAGCTCGAACTATCAATCTAAAGTTATGCTGCCTCCATTACTTTATCCTGCAATTTACTGCATTATTACGTGCATAAACATGCCCAATCACCGTACACTTCTGCTGCTCCATTATTTACCGTGAAACACAATTTGGAATTTGGTCAACTAAATCACAATCTAAATTTTTTCAGATCTTGTTTATCTAGTGTGAAACATTTACTGCAGAAGCTGTTAGTACAATACTTAAATTATTGTAATTGTCAAAAACAAGGGTATTATACTGCACAATTTCTTAAATAAATTTTCAAGATCTGTTGCCAATAAATATGTATAAAACCCTGACGCTAAGCATATAGAAGTGAAAGCACATGCAAGTGTACAAACTGCAAAAATTGGGCAATTCAACACAATGGAGTACTCTATAGACCCATTTACATTTGTTGGTAGCTTTCCGCAAGGTCAGTCATTCTGCTCCCAAATGTCTTAACTATATACTGCACTATTTTATATACACACACATTCAAAAACTTCCCGCAGATAAAAAATTAATGATTTTGTATGACAACTTAGCCCAAGCATTACTCTAATACACGAGTGAAAACACTTAGGCTATGGTTTCAAATGTAGCCTATGTAACAAAAGTAATTCTTAACTTTCAAGTCAATTATATTTGAAGAATACATGAAGATTGCTCTGCAAGTACCCAGACATTTGTATTACCACCCACCAACGTAGTCTGCCTTCTTACCGTAAATGCAGAACAAAAGGTTGGCACCAGAATAATTCTTAACCACAGACATGCTAGTTGCTTCTTGACAGTTTGTCCCACCACAGCACCTGCGGGTCACTGGCCACCACAGCACCTGCGGGTCACTGGCCACCACAGCACCTGCGGGTCACTGGCCACCACAGCACCTGCGGGTCACTGGCCACCACAGCACCTCCGGGTCACTGGCCACCACAGCACCTCCGGGTCACTGGCCACCACAGCACCTCCGGGTCACTGGCCACCACAGCACCTCCGGGTCACTGGCCACCACAGCACCTCCGGGTCACTGGCCACCACAGCACCTCCGGGTCACTGGCCACCACAGCACCTCCGGGTCACTGGCCACCACAGCACCTCCGGGTCACTGGCCACCACAGCACTCCAGCCACCCTCTACAAAGCACAACCACTATGAACGCTCTCACAAATTTGTTATAGTTTCATTTACACAACCTCCATCTGTCATGCATCAGTCTGTACGGACACTTGTCAATTCCTGTGAAACTGCTGTAGTTGATGGGGACGGTTGATGTCAGAGAGCAGCAGCAGCAGCTTCCTTGTCACAGCCGCCACTAACAAAAACCCCGCAAGATAAACAAACATCAGACAAACCACAGCAGACCCCCGGCAGCCTCACCTCTCTTCCCCCTCACATCGCCGCCGCCACCTGCCCCTGCACGCCCCACCGCCGCCCTCAACACTCACCTGCAGCAGCTGGGTATTAGTCCATAATGGAGGTTGACATCTTTGGATAAACACAGCCAGTATTCGTGATCATTACTGCTGCCATCTATCAGCATCTAATCAAAACAATCGATTCCCACGTTTTCTGTCATTTCGCCTCGTAGAAAACGGACACACACGGCAAACCCGCCTGAACTCCACTTGCTAATTAACACAAATCTTATATCAAGTAATTTACAAATTTGAAGTTATTAAAATTTTTGTATTTATAAACCACGAATTTTCTCCAACTATTCAAATGACAAATGTTTAGTATACAAGTAAAGGTTAGGTTCACTTAAATGTACTAATTGCAGTACATAACTTGCACACAAGAGGATGTTAAGAAATATATATTAAATTTATTTTTTATTGAAGTTTACAATTATTGAGCAGCAGCTTTCTTGGGCTGTGCCTTGGTGCCTTCACGGAAGCCATTCCTGCAACAAAAATTGTAATTAAATCACTCAATTTTCCCATACATTCATTCACGTATAATGAATAACTCCTCATTCTACTGCTTACATTATTATTATTATCAATATAGAATTTGGACCCATGATTAGGTGCTGAAATTTATTCTATTTGTATTAAATTACACGTCGTTCTCTCTCGACTTTGACCCGAGCACACACTATATTCCTTGGTGAAGTAAACTAATCCCCCCAAAGTCGTTATTTCTCCCTCGATAGCCTTCCCTTCATACTATAGTATAGAATCATGACAATGGCCTTAATCCAATTATCTCCCTCCCACATCATCGCTTATTTAACATGCAATGAACTCTTCCCTCAACATCACTCACTATATTACGAGCATTACCCTACTTTAAGCATAGCATCGCCTAATATCCTGCCTAAGTATCGCTGGTCCATCTTCCACCGGGATCACTCCAAAACATGTTATTGCCTTTTCTTTAGCATTTGTAACCATTACTCATATATAGTATATCTAACCAATAATTTAAAAGTCTGGCAATCTCGCATTATTTGATAATCTATTCCATAAATCAACAATCATATCTACAAACTACACATACTATTTACTAAGGTTATTTTGGAATAAAAATTTATCCAAACCAAATTGCAGTCTAAATGGGATATAATACGGGCAACATGGCATCTATAGAAAATGATCCCACAATGCTCCTAAATGCTTCATTATTTACCACCCAGTATTTCCCATCACAACTGTTGAACCTTCCTGTAGAATCATTTCCTATCACGTCCTCACTTCTCTTCCTCTCAAGCTTTTCATCCTGCAATTTATTTTTAAATCCCTTACCATTTACCTAACAATCTTTTTAAAGTTATTATATCTCTACTAATCAATGACATCTTTCTGCATATACTGTATATTGTATGCATAATTTTTCCTAATATCCTCGTGATATTTTCACTGATCCATGAAATACTGTACCTCCCATCCCTTTTCTCCAATTGCTATTACTTTCTCATCCCTAGGACACAGTATACATCATTCTTTTGCATTCATATTCTTAAGAAAATTTTTCTACGTTTATATAATTGCTATAATCTTTCTCCGATTGGAGCCCCCCCCCCTTCCCACCTCCCATTTACTCAATTTTGCAGAGCACTGAATGATCTGACCACATTCTCTTATTCACGTGAAAGGCACAGAACGCTACATAAAGAATGGCAAACAAGAAAATGACTAGTCAATTTTTTTTATGCCCAAAGAGGTTTCAAAAGATGGAACAGTGTATGGAACTGGTCGAAAGACCCACTTGCATACCAGAATCACAGATACAGTACACTTACACCCCACAACAGAGCTACAACAATGACAGGCAACAACCCTGCAACAATCAGTACAGGTCAGAACAAATCCAATATGCCCATGCATAATGGACCTGCCAGAAAGTCTCCCAATCAAATTACCTCAAATAGTAATAGTAATAGTAAAAAAGACCTCATTCATCTTTACCAAAATACAAGGAATAAAAACAAAGCAAAAGTGTAAGTACCATTCATAAATGTCCTCACCAAGTCAAATACAGTATTTAGAATTTTCACATGAACCCATGTAAAGGAATTCTTGGACAGTGAGATCTGGATATCAGAATATAATCTATATATGTGATATGGAAAAAGGTCACATGGTTGATACCTGGTTGATGGGGTTCTGGGAGTTCTTCTACTCCCCAAGCCCGGCCCGAGGCCAGGCTCGACTTGTGAGAGTTTGGTCCACCAGGCTGTTGCTTGGAGCGGCCCGCAGGGCCACGTACCCACCACAGCCCGGCTGATCCGGAACTTCTCTTAGAAAACCGTCCAGTTTTCTCTTGAAGATGTCCACGGTTGTTCCGGCAATATTTCTTATGCTCGCTGGGAGGACGTTGAACAACCGCGGACCTCTGATGTTTATACAGTGCTCTCTGATTGTGCCTATGGCACCTCTGCTCTTCACTGGTTCAATCTTGCATTTTCTTCCATATCGTTCACTCCAGTACGTTGTTATTTTACTGTGTAGATTTGGGACCTGACCCTCCAGTATTTTCCATGTGTATATTATTTGGTATCTCTCTCGTCTCCTTTCTAGAGAGTACATTTGGAGAGCTTTGAGACGATCCCAATAATTTAGGTGTTTTATCTCGTCTATGCGTGCCGTATATGTTCTCTGTATTCCCTCTATTTCAGCAATCTCTCCTGCTCTGAAGGGGGAAGTGAGTACTGAGCAGTACTCGAGACGGGACAGCACAAGTGACTTTAAGAGTACAACCATTGTGATGGGATCCCTGGATTTGAAAGTTCTCGTAATCCATCCGATCATTTTTCTGGCTGACGCGATATTTGCTTGGTTATGCTCCCTTGGTTATGCATGTAGGAGTAGGTTTGTATATTAGAGAAGTCCTTGTATGCTCGAAGCTCCTTGACTACAAATGAGGTGGTAGTAGTACTAGATACAAATTTTCTGTGTATCTAAACTTAATAAAGTTTAATAACTTAATAACTTACTTTCAATAAACATAATTAGTCTTATATACAAACCACCAGATGCAATGGCCGAGGAATTCACAAAAAAAATAGAATAGCCTCGATAATCTGGCAAACACAATACCCGATATCTTCCTAGGCGACTTCAACTTGCCTAGTCTAAGATGGAGAATCACAAACAATAATAATATTCAAGGAAATCTATCTGGACAAAACTAACCACAGATTAGAGAACTACTTAAATTCTGTGACAAATTCACTCAAGCAGCAGATAAAGTCAACAAGGTACGCAAGTCAAATGAAGACAATTTGGGACATTACAATCTCAGGATACCACATACTGAGATCACAAGCTCATTGACATGCAATCATCACTACTCATAATAGGCATAAAACAATGATCAAGCAGCAGGGGTTATTCAATAAATTCAATTTCAATTCAAAGGATAGACTAGGAAAAATAAACAGGGAACTTACATTCAATGGAACTGTTCTAATAAAAATCCCACTCAAGAAATAAAACCGACTTCTGAAGCATATGAAGCCTGTCTGAAACATGTTCCTTTGCAGAAAACCAGAAAGAGGACCAACATAAAAAGAGAACGCAGACAGCACTACAAAGGAAGGAAAAAAATGCTTTAACCAGGCACAAATATCCCTACAAAGAAGGAAAAATTTAAACAGGGAGATTGAAGAAATTGAGCAGAGACTGAAGCAGTCATATCATATTGAAGAAATGCAATTAGAACCGAAAAGCATACGAGAAAAAGAAAAAGCCAAAATATTTCTTCACATAAATCAAAGCAACAACCACTCGGTGTTGGACCTATTCTTAAAAGAGAAAATTCATACGCAGAGGATGACAAATGAGTGAAATCAAAAACAAAAAGTATGAGGACACGTTTAGCACCCTAATAAACTGCGTGAAAGTAGAAAATCCAGACATCTTCTATATGCATGATATCCAAACCCCTGAAAATATAACCGATATATCTTGAGGTTATCTCGAGATGATTTCAGGGCTTAGCGTCCCCGCGGCCCGGTCTTCAACCAGACCTCCTTTTTGTTACACCCCCCTTCCCCCAGGAAGCAGCCTGTTGCAGCTGTCTTACTGCTAGGTAACAGGGGCTTCAGAGCAAAAGAAACGTTTTGCCCATTTGTCTCAGACTCCACCGGGGATCAAACCTGGAACCTCAAGACTACGAATCCAAAGTGCTGTCCATCCAGCTGTTAAGCGTTTATATCAACACAAACACTGCAGATTTTGAAAGATAAATTGACCTGGGGCCCATGCACTTGGCCTTGGGTCCAGATTCTTGGAATTCAATACAGTACTTATAAAGAAACGCAAAGTGGTGGTAGCACAGGCACTCGAGTATAGTGTGGAGGAAGAGCTACGACAAGAGATACCAGATACGCTTAAATTAGTTGATAAAGCTCCTCTACACAAGGAAGGGAGCAAAGCATTGGCTAAGAATTATAGACCAGTTGCACTAATGTTTCACATAAAAGTATTTGAGTGATCGAATCAGGTCTCCAGTTTCATGAAGACCAATGACCTCCACAACCCAGGACTACATGGATTTAGTGCAGGAAGATGGGAAGATCATGCCTCTCACAGTACTCTACTACTACAGCAAAATCACCGAGGCACTAGAAGAAAAACAGAATGCCAATGTGGTATACACGGACTTTGCAAGTCATTTGATATGACTATAGTGATAGCACACAAAATGAGGTCAATGGGAATAACAGGTAAAGTAGGATGGTGGATATTAAAATTTTTGTCTAGTATCAAATAATACATGAAAAATACTGGAGGGCCAGGTCCCAAATCCACACGGTACATTAATTAACATACTGAAGTGAACAAAATTGAAGGAAATACAGAAAAGGAGCAGAGTTGCCAAAACAATCAGAACACTATAAACACCAGAGGTCCACAGTTGTTCAGCATCCTCCCAACAAGCATAAAAAATATGGCCTGAACAAATGTAGACATCAAGAAAAAATGGACAGTTTTCTTCAAGAAATGGTGAACAACTGGGCTGCAGTGAATACGTGGGCCTGCAGGCCACTTGAGCAACAGTTTCTTAGACCAAGCTCTAAGTTAAGCCTGGCCCTGAACCAGGCTTGGGGAGTAGAACAACTCCCCAAGGTACAACCAGGTCTGCACTACTTTTGCATTTTGTATCAACATAACCATTCTGGCTCTTTTCTCCATATATGAATATTTTTAAAAAGCATTTGATAAACTTTCCAAACACACATCCATAAATACTAACCATTCAAAATTGGCCAACCCCACTTTCCAACACTTTCTCTATATTCATTCCTAGTCAGGATTCATATCCAACAACTATCCAATATGCTACCATCTGATAGCTCCCAATTATTCAATTTATTCCAAAATGCTTCTCTCTCATATTTTCCTCGTACACTTCCTTTGTTTTGCCAGCTTCCCTCCACCCCAAACTAGATACAGGCTAGTGGCAACCCAACCCCAGAAGTATTTCAGGAGGGACAGTTCAGGATTATTTGCTGTCCAGCTAAACACTTCATGATTCTCTGGAAACCAGAGAATTGGCACACATACAAAAAACAGAAAGGGGTGGGCTTACATTCTAACCTGAACATCCATCATACATACACATTTTTAACAACCATCACAGAGCTGACAGATACCCATTTCCTACATAGGAACTTTCTGAGCATTTAACAGAACCTTGCCAACTCCATAAATGCCAGATACATCTTGCAATGTTTCTTCTTTATAAATGATATAAAGTTAATGCTACACTGCCGTATTATGAGCTTAATTTTATGATCATAATGGTTTGTTTCAAATTAACATGGACAAGAACAAAAATACAACTTCCTTAGCTATACTGCCTACCCACAATAAGATAATTATGATGCAACATTCAAGATATGACAAGAAAAAAGTTATTAAACTATATTGCTCAAGTTCAATAGCATCTATACTTTTCTTACTCTAAAGCATTATCAAGTTTCAATACAATGAGGCGAGATACTTAATTTGAGAAATTCCATGCCCAGACTAAACGGTACCAGTAACATGCATACAAGGCATAACTCACCTGAATCTCCTATGCACGATTTTGAGATGGCGCATACGCCCAGTGCCAGTGGTCTTCCTGCGAATAGCCTTGACAGACCAGTTATCTGAGGATAGCAAATAAAAATATTTGTTTAATTTCCATTTGTTGTAAGAATCCATGTACTGTAATGTTTTGCAGTATAGTTATATGCAAACTACACAGCCTACCATATCATAAGAGCAGAGTTATTTGTGATGGTTATTTGTGAAGAGCAGAGGTGCCATAGGCACAATCAGAGAACACTGTATAAACATCAGAGGTCCGCGGTTGTTCAACGTCCTCCCAGCAAGCTTAAGAAATATTGCCGGAACAACCGTGGACATTTTCAAGAGGAAACTAGATTTATTCCTCCAAGGAGTGCCGGACCAACCGGGCTGTGGTGGGTATGTGGGCCTGCGGGCCGCTCCAAGCAACAGCCTGGTGGACCAAACTCTCACAAGTCAAGCCTGGCCTCGGGCCGGGCTTGGGGAGTAGAAGAACTCCCAGAACCCCATCAACCAGGTATAATCTTGCCAGAGCTTTTAAGTTTGTCAGACACTGCTTAACACTTAAATTCATGTGTTCTACACATATCTTCCTCTTCAGATGTTCTACTAGTTATTTTCTGGCAACTTTGCATGCGATGCATGTTAACAGGGACCAACCCATGTTTAAACTTTTCATTACTTTACTATTATTGGAAAGACCAAGGTTTATAGTTTAAATATTTATTAACTGATGTTTCCTAAAACAAAAATCAAGAATATTTACCAATTAAAAAAAAAATACATCCAATTAAAATAACCATTTTCAAAATTTCTATGAACTCTTAAGACCAGATTTATGTAGTGAAATGATCATTAATATTATATAAAAATCTAAGAGAAAGAAAAATCTAAAATTGGTATTTTGACATTTCTTTATAAAAATCCTTAACAATATTTCTTACAGTATGTAACTGTTGTATATATTATCCAATGACTTATGACAATTTTGCAACTTTTAAAACTACTGGAGGTTACCATAATGAAAACCTTCCTTGTTCCAATACATGCATATAATAATAAAAATAGCATAAACTAATGACTCATTTCATGTTTGACTTTAAGCCTACTATAGGGATCCTAAGCCTCAGAAATTTGAGGAAAACAAAATAGTACAGTATACTGTAACATAACCATGGCAGCAAGATTGAAAAAAATTTGCCCATTTTCCAAGACGATATTAAAAATACCAACTTACAGCGTCTGGTCTTCTTGCTTGGGTATCCACATTGGGCACATCTTTTCTTCTGAATATGGTATGAAGACCGACCACAACGACGGCACAGTGTGTGCGTCTTGTTGTGCCGCTTTCCGAAGGATGAGGTACCCTTTGTCTGCGAATTAAATTACGGTTAAAATAAACTTATGGATAAAGTGGCTTAAGTGATGTATATTTATGATGTTCGTTGAGGTGCTAAATAGTTTGAAGAGACAGGATGCCAACACAAGAATAAAGAGACTCAAAGCCAAGTAATGACCTAGGTATTGGATTCACCAAGGATCCTATTGAGGGGACAAGCGACTTTGAGGAACATTAGGAAAGCAAAACAATCCAGAAAATGGGGACATACCACGAGAAAAACGAGTAAGTGGGACATTGTAATTCTGACAAAAAGGAGCAGGATGACATTCCATTAAGTGCCCTTAAGTTAAGCAATTGTGACCAAGTATGAGTATGCACTAATGTAGTCAGTGCAGTTTCCCCATCATTTATTACAGAGAAAGGAGTACAGACAAGGGGGGGGGAACATACATTTCTTACTTGTAATGCCAGCCTAATGATCCTGCCACTTGTCTGATTACAGAATGAATGACTTGGTAGAAATTCCAATACGGATTACCTTCCCTGGAAATATTGCAAGTACAAATAGCCTCCTTAGTAGCATTGTCTGCAAGTTCATTCAAGATTAACTGCAATATGGCTGGAAACCCAGCAAAATTCAACTGTCATATCTGCTAGATAAGAGCTCGGTATGCGAGTCAAATCATGACACTGAAAACGCAACTGGTAGAGATCATACAAGACTGCATAAAATTCTGCCATGAAGTTGCTAGCCTCTACCTCCCTCTAAGGGAGCCGGTCGGCCGAGTGGACAGCATGCTGGACTAGTGATCCTGTGGTCCCGGGTTCAACCCCAGGCGCCGGCAAGAAACAATGGGCAGTTTCTTTCACCCTATGCCCCTGTTACCTAGCAGTAAAATAGGTACCTGGGTGTTAGTCAGCCGTCACGGGCTGCTTCCTAGGGGGTGGAAGCCTGGTCGAGGACCAGGCCGCGGGGACACTAAAGCCCCAAAATCATCTCAAGATAACCTCTAGAGGCAGGTGGCTCAAACAGGTATGATCACGTAAAACAATGGAATAGCCAACACCGATGGCAGACAAACTTATCTGTGAATAGTGCAATGGAGTGCAAGTGAGAAATGTTCGAGGAGTTTCATAACAGTTGGAAGGGTAGGAGCCTTAACTATGTGGGTCAGGATCTTGAAAAATTTCACTAGTATGGCCCTCCATGGGAACAAAGGTAGAAACAAAGGGAGACATTGCAAATGTGGCCCCAAAGAGAATCTGCAAACAAGCCATCCCCCTGGCAGGAAAAGGAAGTTGGCAAGAGGGAACATCTATTCTGAGGGGCAGTGGTCAAAGCATAATAAAAGCAGAATTGCTGTAATGGCCACGAAGTAGCAAAGGAAGTAATGATCGCGACGATCCTGTAGACAGGATGCAGGTTTCAACAAGTTCTGGGTGGGAGACAAACAACAAGCATCAGAGCTCCATATTCAAGTAATGGCCTCTCACAGCCAGTGTATGCAATTTCAAATTTAATAAAAATCTGATGAAAGCTAGTGAACTTGAATTGAAAACCTAAAAGTTCATGTTGAGATTAAAATTTTCCTGCCAAAAATCCAGCATCACACATCCCCAGCAATATCCATTTTAGTTATATAATTTTGAAAACATTTTCCAGTTTCTTGTATTTGATTCAATTGTTTTATGCTTGCATAGACAAAAAATACAAAATATACAAGTTGGCAACACACCTTCAGTAAAAGATGTTATTGACAAAAATTAAAATACTTGGTAGTTAATAGCTTTCCTCAAAATAAAGCTCAAAATATAGCTAAAAATCTAGGCTTTAAAATGGTAATATAAAAAATGGCAAAATAAAAAATTACTCTAAACTGATTCAGGGTTTTTAAGCTGCTTTTCCAAGCTCTATGTACTTTAATAAAAACCATGATTGATTTCCAATTCCTAGGATTAGCAGTTTTCCTTTAGTAATGGGAACTGAACTGCTTAATCTAAATATGCCTAACAAGTCAAGTAAGAAGCATTGCTAATGCTTCTAGTTATGAATTCCAGGACAGTATCCTCTGACTCATTATATACATTTTGCATTTGATCCCTCATAATCATAACCAAATTATTTTTACATTCAGATTTGGCAATATCAGCATTATCCAGCTAATATCTATTAACTATTATATCCATAGATGAAAGACCACTTGGTCAACCTAAATGGAGTAAAGTCAAAGTGGATGGACAGCGGAATAATGCCACATTCTACTAGATCCACCGTATGACAAAACTTGCATAAAACATGCAAGCAACACACTGACAGGGTGTGCAGTAAATATAAATGAAGACAACTTTCAAGGCATAAAAAAGGAAAATGGCAAATGTAGATAAACAACAAGAAAGCAAATTCTGTAATGTAAGGAAACTAATTCTGTATGCATCAAGTCAGTCATGGGTAGACCAAATTGAAAGACTTTGGCATCATGGTTTGCAGCAGCCCCATGCCCATACAGTAATGCATCAAAGCATTGATAAAGCAAACAGTACATGGATTAGAGCAAGATTAACCATAGGAACTTTATCATCCTATACCTATATCTAGGGTCACCATACCATGGAATGATCACACTGGGAAAACACACATGAAGGATGACAAGGATAATACCGGGTATCTGAGCTCTTTCCTTTCACTTTCTGTATTTGCTGGGGATGCAGGATGCAGCATATGAGACTAAGATTTGTACGTAGGTCATTGGGGTATAAACAGGATTCTCAAACTTAAAAGTTGTTCAGGACTCAAACTAATGGGTACAAACTGGAGAAATGTTTTAGGGAACATAATGCAATGGTTTGGGAATTGGGTTGAAGAATGCAATGAGCTGCCTGCTTGTATTAAGATGTTAACAAATTAAGTATACTATACAGGCAAGACAGCAGATATAAAACAGAACATGCTAAGTATGGGTTAAAAGGCCTGCTAGTGCGCTCCCTAGTTCTTAGGAATATTTATACTGTACTTTAAATCACTCTTTATCCTTTGACTTCTAGAGAAATATAAATTAAGCTTACTTCAGAGCAGAAAAACTCAAGGCAGTCAAGTCATATGTGTTAATTTAATGTTAATCTTGTTTGTTAAAACCCTATAAATTATTAACCCATTAATGCTTTTGGCCCCCTTACCAATTTTGAGTGCTACCAGTGTCTTGGGCTAAGCACAAATTTGCTTAGCTATGTTTTACTTCCAACATACTGCAAAGTTACTATGCATGGTAAGTGGGTACTGCTAGAATCCACTCAGTAAAACATCTAAACTATTGGGACCGACTAAAGAGCCTAAATCTGTACTCCCTTGAGCGCAGGCGGGAGAGATACATAATAATTTACTCGTGGAAAATATTAGAGGGGCTGGTGCCAAACCTGCACACAGAAATAACATCACATGAGACCAGAAGACATGGCAGGAATGTGCAGAATACCCCCATTGAAAAGCAGAGGTGCAACAGGTACTCAGAACTATCAACATCAGAGGCCCGAGACTGTTCAACACGCTTCCACTACACATAAGGAGCATAACTGGCCGACCCCTCACAGTGTTCAAGAGAGAACTGGATAAGCACCTCCAAAGGATACCTGATCAACCAGGCTGACTCATACGTCAGGCTGCGAGCAGCCGCGTCCAACAGCCTGGTTGATCAGTCCAGCAACCAGGAGGCCTGGTCGACAACCGGGCCGCGGGGACACTAAGCCCCGGGAGCACCTCAAGGTAAAGTGCTCAATTTGGCATTTTTTTAACTAAGGAGTTGTACTTTATGATGGTATTGAAAAATTCAATAGAAGCACAATAAAATACAGTAATAAAAAGGGGAAGTTAGCAAACATTACATGAAAATGACAACTATTTTTTTTTTTTTGCAATGGAGGTGACACTGATAAGTAAACAATGGATTTTGCAGATGCACATCTCTTATCCAAGACCACCAACAGATTTCAAGATCGACCTAACAACACACGACCTAATCTTGGCTAATACATCCCAACCTAACTCTTTGATGTTTTCATGGTGCATTCATCATTTGCTCAAAATGCCAGAGTGTTACGATGACTATAGTTGTCATTTTTGAATTTTGCCCCTCGGGGTGAGTTTATTGGGCAGCGCCACTCATCTTGGTATGTCCACTCAAGATGAGTGGCACTGCCCAATAAACTCACCCCTCGGGGCAAAATTTAAAAATTCACGTAGTAGTCGGGTTCATTCTCTACTCACAATGATGAATTCCAGGTTAGAATCCCGGGCAGGACAGAAATGGTTGGGGCACATTTCCTATTACCTAATGCCACTGTTCACCTAGCATTAAGTAGGTACCAAGGAATTAGCTGCTTCTGGGGTTGCATCCTGGGCAGAGTCAGTAATTCGACCCTGTGGGAGGGGGAGGGGGGAGAAAGGACCGCGATATAAGCCTAACGTGTATCTACTCTGGCTGCCTGTCCCCGGACAATTAATAATTACAAAGGTGGACGAAGCATTTAGCCCCAGGATTACCTCCTCTGGAGCTGTATTCAACCAAATTAAAGTAGTTGCTATGCAAACCGACTTTACGAACTAAATTGTTATCTATATTATCAATTTAGAAACCTTGGATTATCTTAAACACGGTATTAATAATGTGTTGGTGAAGCAGAGTTTCTAAGGCATTTCAGCCCGGGGAAACCATGTGACAACACCACCACGCTTCCCAGCACAAGTCTTCTCCTTGCTCTCTTCCTCCTCAAACCCAACACTTGGCTACACCAGCCGAGACATTACCATGACTGCTACCGAGCAGTGCCACACGCAAGGCTAAGCCGGCCCTAGTGGAGCACCGAGAGACAATAAAGCGTGGCGCGGCAGAGGGACGACACTCACCATGTTGTTCCTGGGACGAGAAGGAGTCCCTCCGTGATGCTCACTTGTGACGTCACAATATGGCCGCCTCTCACTACATTTTGTCTTCTCACTTTACCACGTTTGTAAGCGCGTTACATATTATATGAAGCTTTTTATTAACAACTGACCAAGTGTTAATTTATCTACACGAATTTCTTTTGCATATTCATAATTTAATTATGGAATTATGGAGTCTTTGACAGTCCCGAGAATACTACTCTACGTCCAATGCTTAACTTTTACATTCACTCTACCTTTCAACATTTAATTTAATTAAATTTTGTCCCGAGGGGCGAGTTTATTGGGCACACCACTCATCCTATGAGTGGACATACCGTTAGTTAGTTTAGTTCATTTATTATGCACCCCATACCCATCCCGAAACGCTTTGCCCGATGCCCGAAACGCTTTGCGTAATAGTGGCTTTAGGCATTGTATGTACTAGCTCTACCTATAAGTCAACAAATCCTTGTATAAATTTATTGTATGTATGTACCTTACCTAAATAAAATTGTATTGTATTGTATTGTATCCTGTGGGCAGTAGTGGAAAGGGTTACAGAGGCACAATATGGGCTCAGGGACTGAACCCCAGAATTCATTTAGTTAATTAAGCAAGTTACAGTCTTGATGAGCGAGTTACAAAATTCAATGCACATCGTCACATCAACAATGGGCTCAAGACCGACCACAAGTACAGTTTCTAAATTAAGCAACTGACATTAACTCTCCACATATGTGGAGAGCTAGTGTCATAATTGATATGCTTATCCTGCACCCCCACCCCCAGTCCAGTGGGCAGCGGTGAATTGGTTACAGTCACTCAGTTAATACCTACAGTTAGCAAACTGGGGATATTTGGCTAAGATTTCTGACAGCAGATCAGTTTGATTTAATCAGATTTGTTTGATTAATCAGAATGCATGATAGAGCTGATAAGTTAGCCAAAGAATCTGCCTTTAAGAACATAAGAACATAAGAACAAAGGTAACTTGAGGTTAACAAAGGTTAAGATTCAAGACAGTCATAGAATTAGTTAGGAGCAAGGGAGGAATCCCGATCATATGTGGCATTCTTCCAAGAAAGGGAGTGGGAAATGAATGGATGTCGAGGGCACTTGGTGTCAATTGTCGGCTGGAAAGATATTGCAAATCAAATGCAATATCTTTCATAGACAACTGGGAACACTTCTATGGAAGAAATGAAATGTATGCTCGTGATGGGGTGCATCTATCGAGGGCTGGGGTTGTTGCTGTTGCGAACTCGTTGGAACCAGTGGTTAGAGGTGTTTGTTTGGGTTTAAACTGTTAGTAGATAGTGGTATGGGAATTGATTTGGAGGAAGGAGGTAATGAAAGTATGTGTTTGTGGGAGAAAGGAACTGGCAAAATTATCAGGGAAAGAGAAGGGCCTCAAAATAACAGTTCACTTGCCAGAGTCAGAGTGCCAGTCATGGAAGTTTGCTAATGTTATACCAATTTTTAAGAAAGGAGATAGATCACTTGCGTCAAACTATCGACCAATTAGCCTAACGACTATTGTGGGAAAGTTACTTAAGAACATAAGAACATAAGAACAAAGGTAACTGCAGAAGGCCTATTGGCCCATACGAGGCAGCTCCTATTCTATAACCACCCAATCCCACTCATATACTTGTCCAACCCGTGCTTGAAACAATCGAGGGACCCCACCTCCACAATGTTACGCGGCAATTGGTTCCACAAATCAACAACCCTGTTACTGAACCAGTATTTACCCAAGTCTTTCCTAAATCTAAACTTATCCAATTTATATCCATTGTTTCGTGTTCTGTCCTGTGTTGATACTTTTAATACCCTATTAATATCCCCCCGGTTATGTCCATTCATCCACTTGTAAACCTCTATCATGTCACCCCTAACTCTTCGCCTTTCCAGTGAATGCAACTTAAGCTTTGTTAATCTTTCTTCATATGAAAGATTTCTAATTTGGGGAATTAACTTAGTCATCCTACGCTGGACACGTTCAAGTGAATTTATATCCATTCTATAATATGGCGACCAAAACTGAACTGCATAATCTAAATGGGGCCTAACTAGAGCAAGATATAGCTTGAGAACCACACCAGGTGTCTTGTTACTAACGCTGCGATTAATAAATCCAAGTGTCCGATTTGCCTTATTACGAACATTTATGCATTGATCCTTTTGTTTTAAATTCTTACTAATCATAACTCCCAGATCCCTTTCGCAATCCGACTTCGCAATCACAACACCATCTAGCTCGTATCTTGTAACTCTATCATCATTACCTAACCTCAGAACTTTACATTTATCAGCATTAAACTGCATCTGCCAATCCTTTGACCATTTCAAAACCCTATCTAGATCAACTTGAAGTGATAGTGAGTCCTCCTCCGAATTAATTTCCCTACCGATTTTCGTATCATCGGCAAATTTGCAAATGTTGCTACTCAAACCTGAATCTAAATCATTTATATATATTATAAACAACAGAGGTCCCAGGACAGAGCCTTGAGGCACTCCACTTACAACATTTTCCCACTCTGACTTGATTCCATTTATACTAACTCTCTGTTTCCTTTGGTATAGCCATGCCCTAATCCAGCTTAATATAGCACCCCCAATACCATGAGACTCTATTTTTTAATCAGTCTTTCATGTGGCACTGTATCAAAAGCTTTGCTAAAGTCAAGGTATACAACATCGCAATCCTTACCACTATCAACTGCCTCAACAATGCTAGAATAAAAAGATAACAAATTTGTTAAACATGAACGGCCATTTATAAAACCATGTTGCGACTCAATTATTAATTTATGTTTTTCAAGATGAAGACGAATTTTATTTGCTATTATAGATTCGAGTAACTTTCCCACAATAGACGTTAGGCTAATTGGTCGATAGTTAGACGCAAGTGATCTATCTCCTTTCTTAAAAACTGGTATCACATTAGCAACTTTCCAAAACTCTGGCACTCTGCCTGACTCTATTGATTTATTAAATATGGTTGACAGTGGGTCACAAAGCTCCTCTTTGCATTCTTTAAGCACCCTAGCAAACACTTCATCCGGCCCTGGGGATTTGTTTGGTTTGAGTTTTACTATTTGTTTAAGAACATCCTCCCTGGTAACTGCTAAACTCGTCAACCTGTCCTCGTCCCCACCCACATAGACTTGTTCGGCTGAAGGCATATTGTTAAGTTCTTCTTTAGTAAATACAGATACAAAATATTTATTAAAAATACTACTCATCTCTTCATCACTATTTGTTATTTGACCTGTCTCAGTTTTTAATGGACCTATCCTTTCCCTAGTCTTAGTACGATATAACTGAAAAAACCCTTTAGGATTTGTCTTTGCTTGCCCTGCTATGCGAACTTCATAGTTTCTTTTTGCTTTCCTTATCTCTTTTTTAACATTTCTAACCAGTTGTACGAATTCCTGTTCTAAAGTGACCTCCCCATTTTTAATCCTTTTGTACCAAGCTCTCTTTTTACCTATAAGGTTCTTCAAATTCTTTGTTATCCACTTTGGGTCATTAGTATACGATCTATTCAATTTGTATGGTATACTACGTTCCTGTGCTTTGTTTAGAATATTCTTAAATAAGTTATATATTGAATCCACATCGAAATCCCCATTTAAGTCACCTATCGCTGGGTTCATGTCTCGCTCCAAGACCGGCCCACACCCCATACCCAAGCCTTTCCAATCAATTTGACCCAAAAAATTTCTTAGGCTATTAAAATCAGCTTTACGAAAATCTGGCACTTTAACAGAATTTTCTCCTACTGGTCTATTCCATTCTATGCTAAATCTGATTTCTTTGTGATCACTGCTCCCTAGCTCACTCCCTATTTCGATGTCATTAATTTGCGTTTCCCTGTTAGTTAACACTAAATCTAAAATATTATTTCCCGTGTTGGTTCCTTAATGTGTTGCGTAAGAAAGCAATCGTCAATTAATTCTAGAAAATCTTCTGCTTCACTATTCCCTGTTTTGTTCAACCAGTTTATTCCGCTAAAATTAAAGTCACCCATGACATAAATACTGTTAGATCTAGATGCTCTAGATATTTCATCCCATAGATGCTTTGCTTCCATTCTGTCTATATTTGGTGGCCTATATATTACTCCTATTATAATATTATTAGCTTTTTCGTTTAATTCAATCCAAATAGTTTCTGAGTGTGGCTCTGTTTTGATTCCCTCTTTGAGACTACACACTTGAATCGATAATTACAAATAAAATTAGTCTTCATCTTGAAAAACATAAATTAATAAATGAGTCACAACAGGGTTTTACAAATGGCCGTTCATGTTTAACAAATTTGTTATCTTTTTATTCCAACATAGTTGAGGCAGTTGATAGTGGTAAGGATTGTGATGTTGTGTACCTTGACTTTAGCAAAGCTTTTGATACAGTGCCACATGAAAGACTGATTAAAAAAATAGAGGCTCATGGTACTGGGGGGTGCTATATTAAGTTGGATTAGGGCATGGCTATTCCAAAGGAAACAGAGAGTATAAATGGGGTTAAGTCAAAGTGGGATAATGTTATTAGTAGAGTGCCTCAAGGCTCTGTCCTGGGACCTCTGTTGTTTATAATATATATAAATGATTTAGATTCCGGTTTGAGTAGCAACATTTGCAAATTTGCCGATGATACAAAAATCGGTAGGGAAATTAACACGGAAGAAGACTCACTATCACTTCAAGTTGATCTAAATAGGGTTTTGAGATGGTCAAAAGATTGGCAGATGCAGTTTAATGTTGATAAATGGAAAGTTCCGAGGCTAGGTAATGATGATAGAGTTACAAGGTACGAGCTAGATGGTGTTGAGATTGCGAAGTCGGATTGCGAAAGGGATCTGGGAGTTATGATTAGTAAGAATTTAAAACCAAAGGATCAATGCATGCATGTTCGTAATAAGGCAAAAAGGACACTGGGATTTATTAATCGAAGCATTAGTAACAAGACACCTGGTGTTGTTCTTCAGCTATATCTTGCTCTGGTTAGGCCCCATTTAGATTATGCAGTTCAGTTTTGGACGCCGTACTATAGAATGGATATAAATTCAATTGAACGTGTCCACCGTAGGATGGCTAAGTTAA